CGATGGATAGGAGCTGAAGAAAAAGTTCTTTGGGAGCGAACTAAATATTTGTCTGCCATTATACTTCTTAGGAAGTTAAGTTAGGAAGGTCATTGATTTCTGAAAAACTGTCGTTGGATACTGCTACCCCGTTGACATGTTTCACTCGGCATTATGAGCCGGTTGTATGTCAGGAACTGTGGAAATTGAGCGGCAGAGGAAATTCGAGCAGTTTGTCAACAAAGGCTATATTGGAATGTCAGCTGATTGTCGGATTATCATATTAGTGCTATCGATCGGTCCTGGCAACTTCTAGCATACAAATATGATGTTCCAAATTCTCAAAATCTCGTTCACTCAAAGCTTCAACACTTTTCGCTTGACGTACATAGACGACTTGTATCTCAAACCTATTCTTGGCCATTGAGCTGTTGCATTACTATCCAAACAACATGTTGCATACATATTTGAACTCTTGAGGTTCATCTTTTGAAGCTCTTGAGGTTTTGCTGGAATACGTAACGGGGCGTATAGATATGCTGTGAATTTTCTGCTATTGATCTCTAAGGTACCGAGGGGTCGCTTTTCCTCCCTGCTTCCTTTCAAAACCTTTCGAAGACAGCGAATTTCTCGAGAACTGGTCTAATATTCTGGTATTTTCACGTCAGTCTTTGTCTAGTATTGATTCTATGATGAGGGCAGTTGTTTCTGGAACTTCAGCTTTTTTCAGCAAAATTGTTTCTGAACTCTGACGTTATGGCAAAACCTGCCACTGTGATCGACGTCGTGCTGAAATATGATGCTACTCCTTGTGATCCACGTCTTTACCCCATTATCTTTTTTACTTAATGTGCTATTTCGATAGATAAGTCAAATCTCAACCATTTTGGTATGAGGAGCTGTACTGCTAAAGGAGTGTGTCGAAGAAGGGAAACGTTTATGATTGGCTGCAGGTTTGAAGCCTAGGATGTACTTGAGCATTGTCCTGTCCTGAAGTCTCATGTTGATCTAAATTCGTTAATAAAAAAGTGAGGCTTTAAATATTCATTGCAAAAGACTCTAAAACTTTTTACAAAAGAATTTGCAAAAGTGTGAATGCAAAAGTTTTTGCAAAGGTTTAGCCCCTTTGGCGAGCTTTTTGGCGATTACGCCTTTGTCAAAGCCTGGGTTGTCTTTTTTGCTACCTCTCAGAATCCACCAGTAAGAGGAGCTTGATATTGAGGCTGCAAATTTGGTATGCTCCCTTTGTAAAACTTATGTACTATTTGAAAAAGTGTCCGCATTGAAACCCTTCCAGTGGGTGGTTTAGGTTCAATAGAGCAACTGAAAACCTCCTCCTTTTCTATAATATGTACTCCTTGTCATTCCGTAAACACCTCGTGCGGATAAGTGTTTCTTCAATCGCTACGAGAAATTGAATTTAGCATCTGCAGAGACAATCAAGCATCGCGGCGAAGCTCATTGAATAGTTAGTTCCGAGTTGTGAAGTCTTCTTGCACTTTTTTCTCTTTCGTTCTTTCCTTCACCACCTTAAGAACTCACAGACGATTTTGTTCAGTACGCGACATTGTGTTAACAAGCGCTACCATGATAGCATCGGCCATATGGTGCTTATTTTTGAGCGCGTCACCAGGAGTTTTTTATGTGTATCCTATACTGCACATATCCAAGCCAAAGCAGTGTTTTTGGCCCTTTTGTCCAGTAACCCAAGTTGGATGTCACTCGAGAAAATAGAGATCTTTGTTTTTTGACGTCTGGATAACGTGTCTCGAATCACAAGAGTCTCGAGGGAATTCCAGCAATCACAACAGCTTGGTGATGTTGTGAATTGGCTGCAATTCAAGATAACCGTGGACTATGGTCGGTTCCCAGTTGCAATACCACCCAATTTATTCGAAAAATTCGAAAAAAAATACCAGTTCGCATTTGTTTGTTTTTCTCCATAGCTCTATCCTTTTTCTATTTATGCGAAAAATTTGGACCATTCACCTTCTCTTGTCGAGCTTTACAAGCCCTGCTCTTGAAGACAGGAAAATCCTGCTTTTGATGTTCCCCTTCCATCAATGTACCCACTCGCTAACAAGTCGCCGCAGGTGCTACGATGGAAAGGGAACAAAAATGGACTTATCAGTCTTTGGGAGCAGAATCTTGTAGAGCTCGACGAGACTAGTTAAGCGGTCCAAATCTTTCATATAAAATTGAAGAGTCATGGAAAAAAGGAACGTGCGAATTGGCCTTTTTTTCGTGATTTTTCGGACAATGAGGGTTGGTATTGTGATGTGCATTAAAGTAGAGATCTCAGGTAGGAGCCAAGATCATGCTAGGAGTTTCCGAGTTTAATCTCTTCCTCCTTCTTTTCACCTCCTCCCCTGCACATTAATGGAGGTAAATGTACGTCCTGCTACTTAAAAACACTTTTTGCTATTTGTTCAGGGTGGGGGCGGAAGTGGTGTAGTGACAAGTGGCGCGCTCACCACGCGAGCGGTCCGGGATCAAATCCTGGGTCGTGAGTCGCCCGGGCCAACCAAGCCTTCCATCCCTCCGGGGTCGGTTAATTGGTACCAGACTTGTCTGGGAGGATAAAAACACTGACTTGAACATCGGCTGGCCCCCGCAAGTCATTGTATAGGCCACATCGCATTCAAACGCCACTGCGAATGTACAAATGGAAGTAGAATGCGTGCCGCATCCCAAAAAGGGATTGATCAACGGCAAATGCTTTATCCTTTATCCTTTATTTTTCACGTCTCCCTGTCCCCACTCATTCCAAATACAACCTATGACTTACCCGAAACTTTAAATATGTCCCTCACTTCCTAAAACAGTTCTGATTTCCAGCAAATACGATCCCTCAGGAATGTATGCTTGGCTATGGTACAAACTGCTTTGTCACTCAATATACCCCGCCTAGAACAGATCGTATTTCTCAACCGGCGCGGAACAAAAACGGTGAATTGCTTCGTATTACACGATGGGCAAAAGTACAAGCAGAAGCCTCGTGGGATTCTTGCACGATGCCATAAAATCCTTCGCATAAATCAAGGACCACACAATTGTGCAGCACGGCACGGGTTCTTTACTATGAATTTTTCGACAGTAGTTTGGTCTCAATTCCTTCGTTTGCTATCCATCTTCCCGTTTTTTTAGCGGACATTCCGTCTCTTTCGCAATCTTTACTTCCCCTTGATTAACTATTATTATACTTATTGTAATCGCTACTTTTGGTCCAATATATGTACTTTGAAGAGATCTTTCGTGTGAAGAGCACTCCGTGCACCTTTTTTCATTGACAGCTAGTTACTGCTGGGTGCCTGCTCCATAGTGCTTTTTCTTGATCTTACACTAACCCACTTCTTCCTTCCATCACTGTCACTGTCAATTTTCGTTGTATAAATTGTGCAAGCTTCCGCATTGTTTGCTTAGCGAGTTTTGAGAGGGTAGAGAGGTTTTTTCATGAAAACAGAGTTTGCCGCTATCTATAGCACTTTTGCGCGGTCGTTTTTGTTTGGCGATTTATTGACAGAGCAATGTTGCGATTTCCGCCCACTTCATCCGCATTGCGTTTGTCTCTTTTCCGCTTATCTTCTAAAATGAAATCCTTATCGCATAACATGCTCAACGTAATAGATTTCAAGCATGTTGGCTTTAGCAAATTTGATAGAAGATTTAGGAATGGTTTGTACAGTTTTATGAAAGAATTGGCTCTCGAATAGTTAACAGATTGAAAATAATTTCGGAGCTGAAGTAAGGATATTGTGGCATTACAATTAGCTTTGTTGCCTGCGTTGTTAGGCCGAATCTTAATTGCGCACTAGACATAAAGAGAAAAGCAATGTATGGAAAACGGATTCGAAATCTCCCATAGTTCGAAGCGGGTCGAGTCGTTACGACAAAGAGTTCCCTGAGGAAATTAGTCGTGTAGAAGACTTCATTTCTTACTTTTCTTGTTGAAAGAGCCCTATTTAACGAAACCTGCCTTTGATGAAACCGAACAAAGGCGAAAGCTTCCCAGAAGTGGAAATTCGTGGATTTCGGTGAAGAAAGTGGGATCGTAGGATTTGCAGCATCAGAATATACGAGACGTCACATTAACACCTTGGAGCCCACGCAGCCCATATGTGGGCTGCAGTCCTCCGACCGCATAGGACCTTTCAGCTCGCATTTCGTAAACAATTATTAGGTTTTTCATTCATTTTCTTTTCCATTTTATCCGATAAGATTTCTTCTGCATTATACAGTGGGTTCTTCTTTTGAATTTGCTAGATAAGATCCCTAAAAATTTCACCGAAGTCCCGCGCGGCCACGGAACGTAAAACACGCGCGGTCTCCAAAGTGTTAAAAATAGCTAGCCCGCATCGGAAATATTGCTGACGGTGGCTCAAGATTATTGGGACTTTACAATCAGCCCTTTGGTGCTTGCTTTGCTCGGCCGAATCTATTGCGCACTTACCATTAAGAGAAAGAAGCAATGTATGGAAGTGGATGGTATCTGATAGCCTCCCGAGTCATGAATTCCGGTCGAGTCGGCCATAGTTCGAAGCGGGTTTAGCCGTTACGACAAAGAATTCCATGACGAAATTAGCCGTATAGGACTTCATTTCTTACTTTTCTTTGAGTCTACTAAAAAAGACCTATTTAACGAAACCCTGTCTTTGATGAAACCGAACAAAGACGAAAGCTTCCCAGAGGTGGAAAATTCGGGGATTTCGGTGAAAGTAAGTGGGATCGTAGGATTTCAGCATCAAGAATATACGCGAGACCGTCCACCTTAAAGTTCTCTCGCTTCTTTCAGTTTATTTGAAAAATAGTCAAAGTAAATAAAAGTAAATGTTCTGGAAAAGTAGGTCTTGTAGAGAGAAGTTATTTCGAATCATCTATAACGTATGTTTTAGTCTTTGTTTACTTTACCATTTAGACTGTACTTATCGCTAAAGGTTCCACAACTGGTTCTATTCTAGTTTGGATGTATCTCCAAAAATCGTTTCCTAACTGAATTTTATGTATTCAGGCGTCAAAAACGAATGTCGCCGGGTACCTCTCGCCTGTACGAGCTTCAACCGGACCCCTATGATATCACCCAACGGCGGGCAATTCGCATTTGTCTGTTTACCGATGTTAAAAATGCTGTGAGTTTAATAAAAACTAATAAAAAGCAAAATAAAGAACGCATCGAGAGCTCCTGGTATTTTTCAGCACGTGCTACGCGATAAACTGCGAAAAGGCGAGATCGACGCTGCGTTGATTCGTGCCGAGTTGGTGAGTGAGCATAAAACCTTGTTTCATCTTTTGTGCCTTATCTTTCTTTCTTTTATCAACATCGACCATATTGTACCAGAAGAGAGCCTCGATCTTTGTGGGACTTCACCTTACAAGTTTCATCTCTTTTGTTCCCTAGTAGATACCACTTACCCTCCTTTTCAAAAAACGAGAAGAGCGTCGGGTGCAGACCATACACCACAAGTGACGACGGCCTCCAAGTAAATCTGGTTAGTAGTGGTTCATAGTGATAGCTGATTTTTGGTAAATGATAGTTGTAATTAGTGATAGAATACAACTGCAACAGGCTAATCATTTCATTGGCAGAAAACATTTACATTTTGTGGAGGCCGTCGTCACTTGTGGTGTATGGTCTGCACCCGACGCGCTTCTCGTTTTTGAAAGGGAGTATACGTGACACTTGCTCGATTTTCGCCACGAGATCTTCAAGGATTCTGCTTGACTTTCTCAGCAACTAGTAAAATAAAAAGGTTTGAGCCATTTTTGCAAAATACTTTGTTGAAGGATTCCTGGTCAATACATGAGCAGATAAATGTTGTATAACACAAAGAGGCACCAAAATTTTTTATTTCAAAAGAATTCCAAAAGTTTACAAAATTTTCTAAGTATTCGAAAGAATTCTTTCAACAATAAACAATTCTGACAATAGCTCGAAGCTTTCGTTTTCCGAATTATCCAACCAAGCACCTCGTTCCCTTTCCTGTTCGACGTCTAGTGGAGACGACTTCCGAATAGTCCCGTTTTCATAGAGCGTCAGATTCCAACAGTACTGCGAAGCACCGCGGCGTACTCAATTGCTTCGCACCAAGGTGAAATCCTTGGTGGATCCAAAATTCTCATGACTCTTTTATTTCGGGAGTGTTCTCGACACGATGGGAACGCTAGAGGGAGGTTCGCGGTTGTTTGTGGGTGCTTTGGAAATCGAAAGTTTCGAGCTATCTTCAGGCCTTTGAAAGTGCCGAAAAGGTTTAGTCATCTAGTGGTGATTCCATCTAATTACTTTGACTGGCATTAAGAGAAGCAATATAAGATTTCACTGTAAAAGATAAGGTTTCTATGTAGTCAGAATGTGTCGGAATAGAGCACCTCGAACTTTTGATAAAACATGAGCATTAGCCGGCCAATAAGAATTTTTATAGGCGTAATGAATAGTCATTCACGTGACCTACATACCAATCTTGGGCCTGTTAAGGGTGGTACACATAGGGCTAATATGTGTGCCATCAATGTTCGATAGTGGTGTGATCATTCATTGTGGTCAATTTGAGATTTCAGGTATTGGAGCCGTTTATCGTGTTGGCTGCCGCGAATCGAGCTGTTCATCAAGCAGCTCACAATCGTCTATCTACTCGAAGCCTTTCAGCTGAACTTGTTTACAGTCTGTCGCCGAGTCGAAATGTACGCTATATTTTACCATTTTTCTTTTTAAAGTATTAAATCTAAATACTTTTGAATAGAAGGCTCGAACTGCTCTTACTCTGTCTTTCCTACTTCAACCTAACTTTGATGTGTTCATTCTTTCTCACAACTTGCGCGTTTTTCGATCCTCCAGACGCTGGATTTGGTCCTTGTATTAAGCAGCCTTCCGCCTGTTTTGGAAGGATCTCGGCCTTTCATTCTCGTTTCCCAAAATGCGCCCTTCTGGTATAGGGTAGTGTAACAGACGTAATTCTTATCATGTCCCTTTATTAGGAGGGTTCAGTCGGACGCAGGCTTGAAATCGGTACTGTGACAGTCACTCTCCTTCTCCTACCCTTTCTGATCTCTACCATTTCGTCGAACTATATCTGAAAAAAATTGATCCAGTTGTCACTATAGTATTCGAAGCTGAAAAGAATTGGGTTAGGTTCCCATGATTCCTTTCTGGCAGATAACCTTTTGATATTGAATCCCCTTGAGCTAATTCGCTCGTCCAAGGAGGTGTCAAAGGTAAGACGCAGTAGGTGTTCAAGTAGGGCTCTGTGCGAAACGTAATTTGCAAACATCTGACCAATCCTTTGATCTCTCCATTCCTCATGCAAGGAGATGCCTAATTGTAATCCACGCCATCCTAAATCGCTAGCAGTGTAGGATGTGGTTGCCCTGATCGTGCATTGTTTATTCTGTAGAATTAACCCTGCCTGTTCTATTATGCCATAAAATTGGGGCTATAATGTGTTTGGTTTAGATAATACTATTTTCTGCAGATCTCTGACTCACTTGTGACATTCGGCATCGCTGACACCAGCAAGAACATACTTGTATGCATATTTGATGACAAAGACGGTTCAAAAATGAAGAAATTGGCGAAAGAGATTGACGGACGGCCAGAATCGCTCGACAAGTTAACCTCGATCATGGATCTTCGTGTCATTCAAAAGGTTCGCAGCTAGATTTGAGGGGTACCCCCAGGAGGCCCGTCGCGCGGCAAGAAGGCCGAGTCAGCGGACGAGTCGCGCGCGTACTAGGGAAATCGCGTCAAGTTAAATAGAATGTCCCATTGCACGTCCTTCGCACATCACGCGCCGCTCGTCCGCCGACTCTGCCTTCTTGCCGCGCGATGGGCCTCCTGAGGTACCCAGATTTGAGGCTTGAATCTCTAAGGCTGTGCATACTCATGCAAAGGCTATACTACCAAGCGAGATTTCTTAACCCATAACGGACGGCGTGCGCCACATGGTGGCGCACGATTATTTCTTTTGTTTTTGAATGTTTCTAGCAATCTTAATATACCCATATATACTCTCAGCAATGTGGAATAACATATCTTCCCAGGACCTGGACGGCTGGATTTTTGACAAACCTACAATAAATTTTACATACATTTTGTCTTAATTTACATAAGTTTACTATTTGATGGGTGGCTTACCCATGGTTCGCACGTCCCGAGACCCCTTCCCCTAAATATAGCCACATCCTTGCTCACGGTTGTTGTTTTGCGTTTTTCGATGATGTCACCTGCAGCTTCCATT